TTTGTTTACGATTTTCTTTTCATTTATGTAGATTGGTCGGAGATGTGACTAGAGTTGGCGAGAGAAGAAGAAAAGGGTAGGGGTGGGGCCGTGGGGTTACATGTTTTTTATTTTTTTCTCAAAGAAATGAAATAAAACTCTAAAATGACCAAAATACTCTTATTATTTCGCTTGAGGGACCTAATCCTTTTTATATAACCATAGGGACGATATTTGTAATTTACTATTTTTTTCAATATGGTATTGTTGATATTTGTAATTTACTATTTTTTTCAATATGGTATTGTGGTAGAGTCTATATACTATTGATGTCTTTATGATAGAAAGAATCCGTCATAAAAGAGTGTGTCAATAAATTTTACCTATAACTTTTATCGGACATATATTAGAACTTAGGACATCAGCAATAGTCAAGTCTTTAATAGACTTGATCTATTTGCCACATCAAATTTCCACAAAAAAAATCCATCTTCAAATACTTACTTTAATGGTCAAGTTTTTCAAAAGTTTTTTTTTAATTCAATTTTAATAAATATTTACATACGTAAATTATTCCCATCTATTTGAAATGTTTTTAAAACCCCTTATATAGTTTGTCGTTGTTTTAAGGCAAGATAGGTTTTTTTAAACATTTAATATTTTACAATAACATGTAGTAATAAAATTAAATATGAAACATACGAAATTTAAAAACTAGACCTAAACCTAATAAGATGTATTTTTCTATAAATATAAACTATATATACTTACAACTATGATTACTAAAAACAAAAGTATTTAATTTTTGTGTTTCTTAATATTCGATAATGGTGTCATATTTTTCGTCTTTACGAGCGCTTTCCAATGATGTATTTTGTTAAAAATAATAATAACTTCATTCTATGTATTTAATAAAGGGTTAAATGCATGAAATAACAACTTACTTTTATAAAATTTCTTATTATAACATTCTATTTTTGTTTTTCTTTATTACAGCAACGTACTTTCAAATTATTTTTTATTAAGACATTGTACTTTAGAAAATCTACCCATAATAGCAGTGACTAACCTGTTACCTTTTAAACCGGTTAATCCCTTGACTTTTTTTGCTTGTGTGACTTTAATAAGGTGATGTGGATGACACATCATTTTCATGACTTAACTAGAATAAAAATAAAAACCTATTCCAAATTATTATTAATGATTTTCATTTTTCATTGCTATGATCTAAAAAACATTTTTTTTTTGACTTTTTCTTATTTGCATGCAAATTAAATATTATAAAGTAAAAAAATATTTCTCAATAGTAACATTATTTTCGAGATATATTTTGTTTGTAAAAAAAATAAAACTTCTTATTTTATATTGTTCAAATAAATACATATCTTTTAAAGTGTTCTTTAAAATGTTAATGAAATAAATTGTGATCTACAATTTTTTAATATTGTTATATTAATAAATAATTCAAAAAAATAAAATTAATTTAACATATTTATACGTCAAAGTAAAACTTTTTGACAAATATAATATATTCTTTAAAATATAATATTTTTTTGGTAAAAAAGAAACAATTCTTATTTTCTTTTTTCATAAAACACATATTTTTTTTAAAAATATTAACGAGATAAGTTGTGTTCTGCTAGTTTTATTGATATTGGTATGTTAATGAATAATTTAATTTTTTTAAATTCATTTAATATATTTATTTAAATAACATGTAAAATATCTAAATATTAAAATTAAAAATACAGTGTTTAATAAGAACTAGTAGATGATATAATAAAATTATTTTGAAAGTACAATGATATAGTAAGAAAGTCACCTCACTATAGTATATGTGGACAACCTACGTAGACAATGAGGTGGCATGAAAACCTGATATAATAGGTTAATTTAAATCAAAAAGTTACTCAATGTTATAATGGGTAAATTTTTCAAAGTACGATGTCCTAATAAAAAATAATTTGAAAGTACATTTCTGTAATAAGAAAAAAATGGAAGTACAATGCTATAATAAATAAATTTATGAAAGTAGATTGTTATTTTGTGCATTTTGCCCTTTAATAAATGAAACATTACTGATTAAAAGTGAAAAAAATGAAAAATGTAAATACATGATAGTTTAAGGATAATATATGTAACATTCTTTCAATTTTTATACACAACATCCCAAGCTTTTGGATGTCAAGTCTTTCTTTAATTTATCACCCCAATCGTTAACCTTTTCCTCAAGTGGTTCTCCACATTTTCATCAAATCATTATTTTTACCATTGGAGATGCTCTCTTAGCGACTTGAAAACAACATGTAACATGTCACAAAACAATTTTATACTTTGTAAATATAACTGTGAAGCCATCTTTTATCGACAGGTTACCAGCAACATATATTTGTCGGTAGCAAGGTTGTTGGAAATTTGTCGATAAACCTAGCAAAAATTATGAGAAAAAAAATGCTTAAATACAATTGAAACTTCATCTGTACTCAAATAAAAGTAATCCATTACCTAACTAGGAGAGGAAGGGGAGGTGAAAATACCAGTGTTAGTATTTATATAACAACTCAAACAAATTCCAATTAATTAATGCAATACGAACGCTATTATTATTTGGATCTACCAGTTGACATAGACATACCCCAATATGGAACATGGTCTTGTCGAGCTTTAAAAACGTTTCACGTTGTACCATGTAAAGAAAACGGACGTCAAGAAAAGTTGGTTCTAGATGAGGTCTCCAGTATCTCTCAAGGACAAATGTCCTCTAACTTAATTATTTTGTTTTCATTCAGTGTTTTCAATTTATCATTTCTTCTGACAGATGTACATGAAAAGTTAGTACACTTCACTAATAATGAAAGTTAAGTCTCATATTGTTGAGCTATATATATCATCTTCTTGTTGACATTATATTTTTGGTGATGGAAACTATTATTTGACATTTAAAGGAACTTTTGTTGAAATGACAATAATAGTCAATTTTAAGTTTGAGGACATAAGTAAATACCTTTTATTATATACATTAGTTTGGTTGTAAATGCTTCATAATAATTTGAACAAGGAACACCAAAATATGTGTACCGACCAAGAATACTTGGATATGAACAAGTTAATAAGATCATATGAAATGCGAAGAAATTTGGCCAATTAGTACTATCGTTAAACTTCGATAAATGAATTAATCTACGATAAAACAATAAACTCGAGTATATAATAATTTATTAGAGTTGAATGCATCTTTAAACATGTATATAACAAGGTTTAAACTTATAGAACATAACTAATATTCTATCAAAATTCACATAATTAATAGAATTATTTATAAAATCATCAATAAACAACAAATTACTTTATCGTTCTTTCAAAACAATATAAATCTATAAAATAAAAATGAGAGAGACAAAATAAAGATGAATTAAGTATATTGTATTGGATGAGTTTCTTGCGTGTGTGTGTATATATATATATACTATATTATAAAATATTTGATAAAAACTTTTAAAAATTATTTTTATACATAAAATACTGTTTATTGATGCATATTACTTAAAATTCAAGATCACAAGTAAATTGTG